TTGGGCTTTCCCTCTTTCTGTAAAGCAATTTCTGCCTAGTTCATTGTCCAGTTAATTTCAGTGAGCCTTTCTAAGTTGGCATTGTAAATAAAACAACTTATGAGAAGTATGCTGAAATAGAATTAACAAAACATGATCTTTGTTCATGGAGTCGGAAACTGGAACACAGCAACTTGAAGTTAATGTTGTGAATGGGGTTGTCAGGATTAGGATATCTTTCAGCCTCTCTGCTGCTGGTAAACTTGTACACAGTTGGGCTCTCTTAATTAGATCTGAGGACTTGTTTTTTCTTCTTTAATTTTTAATATGTTGCTAGATATGTAGTTTACTCTACCCAGTTTGGTTTTGGAGGGGCTGTAACTAGATATTTTCTTTGCTTTTCAATTAAAAAAGACACTTACTTCATGTGGTATGTCATCTTTTTAATCATCATTGTTCCCACTTGGGGAAAGACACTACTTGCATGTAAAAAATAATTTAATCTTTAACATTAAAGTGTACTGCAAAACCCAGAAAACAGCCTTACTAAATGCAAGATGCGTTTCAATAAAAAGTAATACAATAGGTAGTAAACAGTTGCTTTTGTGGATGTAAATGTGTCTCTTCACTTAAATTAAGTTTGCTTTTAGTGGGTTTTGGGTTTTTTTGTTTTTGTTTTTTTGGTTGTTTATTTTTATTTTTGAGACAGGGGTTCTGTGTGGCTTTGGAGGTTGTACTGGAACTAGCTCTTGTAGACCAGGCTGGTCTCAAACTCAGAGATCCCCCTGCCTCTGCCTCCCAAGTGCTAGGGCTAAAGGCACATGCCACCACTGCCTGGATAAGTTTGGTTATTTTTTTTTTAATTTATTTAGATGTATTGTGCATTGGTGTAAAGGTGTCACATCCCCTGGAACTGGAGTTACAGTAAGCTGCCATGTGGGTGCTGGGAATTGAACTCAGGAACTCTGGAAGAGCAGTCAATGCTGTTAACCACCGAGCCATCTCTCCAGTCCCAAGTTATTTTTTTAATTGAAGAGATTCTTAGGTAGTGACTTGTGGGAATCAGTTCTCTCCTGTCACCCGTGTGACCCAGGGATCAAGCTCAAGTTGTCAGACTAAGTAGGTGGTGTGCCCCCTTTAAAGCTTTGCTTTTTTTTTTTTTTTAAAGATTTATTTGGGCTGGAGAGATGGCTCAGAGGTTAAGAGCACTGCTGCTCTTCCAGAGGTCCTGAGTTCAATTCCCATCAACCACATGGTGGCTCACAACCATCTGTAATGAGATCTGATGCTCTCTTCTGGCTTGCAGACATACATGAAGTGCTGTATACATAATAAAATCTTTTTTAAAAAAAGATTATGTGTACAGCATTCTGCCTGTATGTGTCCCTGCAGGCCAGAAGAGGGCACCAGATCTCATTATAGATGGTTGTGATGGCTCCTGGGAATTGAACTCAGGACCTCTGGAAGAGCAGCCAGTGCTCTTAACTGCTGAGCCATCTCTCCAGCCCTCCTTTGCTTAGTTCTTAAGACATATAACTGCTTAACCACTATTTCTAGCCTCCCCTTTATGGTAGAAAGGTTTTTACTTAAAATGATTATGCCTAGGTCCTTGTACATGCTAAGTGTTCTGCATCTAAGCTACGTTCCCATTTGTTTTTTGTTTTTTTGGTTTTATGAGACAAGGTTTTTCTGTATTGCTTTGGAGGCTGTCTGTCCAGCCCGGCCTCGAACTCACAGAGATCCGCCTGCCTCTGCCTCCTGAGTGCTGAGATTACAGGCATGCACCACCACGGCCTGGCCCCATTTGTTTTCTACACAGATAGAATACATGTCATAATCTTGTTTCAGATTGGTTCTTTGTGTGTAAGATAGCATTTACATTTGAACTTGAAATGTAACTTCAGCCTTTGTTAAAATATAAAAATATAGCTGGATGGTGGTGATAAAAGGCAAAGGCAGGTAGATCTCTTGAGTTTGAGGCCAGCCTGGTCTACAGTGAATTCCAGGACAGCCAGGACTATATACAGAAACCTTGTCTCAAAAAACAACAAAATACAGTGTCTGAGGTGTCGGAGTAGGTAAAAGCACTTGCTGCCAAGCCTGATGACCTGAGTTTGAACTATCCCAGGAACTCACAAGATGGAAGGAGAAAACCCGACTGGCATGCATGGCACAAAAGCATCCACACACACACTTAAAATATATGTGAGAATAAGACGCCAGAAAGTATGAGTTGTTTATCTGGAATCCTTTTAGAAAAAGCTTTGTCCCCTGTGATTATTCTCAAGAAACAGTTTTTTCCCCCATTGTGCTGGTTCAGTGAGGAGGGAGGGTAACACCAGTTCAGTGATAGCTGGAGTGTTTCACTTGTCAGTTATTACTATAATAAACACATTTACCCAGGAACTCTGCTTGTGTGAGGAAAAACCCAAGTCTTGGCTAAAGTTCTTGCTGATATCTAGGGAAAAGAGCCTTTTTTGGGTCAAGGAGGGGCACATACCAAGTCCTGTGTGGCCCAGGCTGATCTTCAACTCATGGACATAGTCTTAACCCAGCATTGCCAGTGGCTACAATGAGGGGGTGGGGGTTTACGTCACCTGGCTTCATTGTTGCTTTGTGAATTAGTAAGCCCAGGAATTATGAGAATGGCTGATCAGGAACATCATTATCTGTATGTCAAAGATGGGGTCTCTCCTTGACCTTTTGAAAGCTGTAACTTAATTTTTCTTGATCTTGTCTAAGTTTCAATATATGTTATTGGCTTGTATCAAACTTCCAAGGAGGTGAACTCTATATGCGCAATAGTCTCATCATGATTTCTACTCTTACTTTGGTTCTCTGTGTAGCTCTGGTTGTTCTGGAACTCACTCTGTAGACCCTGCTGGCCTCAAACTCAAGAGAGATCTGCCTCCACCTCCTAAGTGCCAGGATTAAAGGTGTGCGGCACCACTTTTTTTAAAGCATTGTCCTGAAGTGGTACTTGACAAGTTGAAAAACAGTATCCTTTCTGTATGTTTTTTTATGGTAGCTGATCCAGGATTTGGAGGCCACTGATGGCAGGCAGGACCTACCTTTACTTAGCAACACTGTTCCATGTATTCCTGTATAAGGATCAGAAGTGAGAAACCCCATGAGGTACATGAGCTAGGCACAGAATGACAATGAGGGGAAATTGCTCATAGCCTTGTTATTTGAACCCAGGGATATGTCAGGCAAGCACTCTACCAACAGCTATATCCCCAGCTCAGGAACCAAGAACATCAAGGCTCTTGACCAGCCTTCAGGCTTAATTAGGAAACTGCCTTTTGTCAGCAAAGGGGAAGGTGTTTGCAGTTTGATGATGGCCAGGTAGGACTGAAGAATGTGTTGGATTAGATCTGTACCTGTACAGAGTACATAGCTGCTATCTACAATGCAGTGCTTTTTTTAATGCTGCAAACTCCTGACAGTTGTTTGGTTTGTCTGCTTTTATTTTATGGTATCTATAATTGTGTATGTGTGTGCAAACACCTAGGAAGGTCTGAAGACAACTTGGGAGAATCATTTCTAACCAAATTAAGCTCACATCACCAACCTTGGCAGCAAACTTTTCTTTACTCAATGAGCCAGCTGTACTTTTTATTTTGAGGTAGGGTTTCACTGTACCTGAAGCTGGCCTTGAACTTTGAATCCTGTGAAGTGTTGGTATTACAGACTTGTTAAACTCCGAAAGCCTGAAGAGCTTCCTCTTAGCATGTCTGTCTGGCCCTCCCTTATGTAGCCAAGCCTAGTTTCCAATTCTATCTTTTCTTCTTATGTTCACCTCCCAAGTACTGGGTTTACAGGACCAAAAGCCCTGGTAAGTTTAGGAAAGTTCATGTACTCAGTGTACCCTAACCTGTTTAATAATGTAGTTAAAAACAAAAACAAAAAAACTAGGCCCACAACCAGAGTAGAATTCTTTAAAATGGGGGGGGGGCGTCTAATCCTCCCAAAAAGAGGAAAGAGGGAGAAGTCAAGATTGCAATGTCCAGTGGTCTACATAAATACTTTGGGATGTAATTCTAAAGAATGTTCTGTGAACTGAAAGCTGCAATGCAGCATAATGGTCTGACGGCTGTCCTTGAAAATTCATTTTCTTTTTTTTTTTTTTTTTTTGGTATTGTTTTGGAGGCTGTCGGTCCAGCCCGGCCTCGAACTCACAGAGATCCGCCTGCCTCCGCCTCCCGAGTGCTGGGATTAAAGGCGTGCGCCACCACTGCCCGGCGAAAATTCATTTTCTAAAGGTTAACCCGAGGTGGTATTGGTACCATTTACATTCATGGTAAGAGCTCTAGAAGTTAGCAGCACAGTATACTTTAACATGGTGGGGCATGCATGTAAAAAAGTTTGGTCACTCTGACTTCATTAGAGAAAATACTTCAAAGTATTTCAACAGGCAGCCCTTGTAAGAATAGAGTGCTGTTAAATCTGTGCAGAAAGCTGGAGAGAGGGGTTAAGAGCACACTGGCTGCTCTTCCAGAGGTCCTGCCTGACTCAATTCCCAGCAATCATAGAGTGGGGTCTGGTGCCCTCTTCTGGCATAAAGGCATACATGCAGATAAAGCACCCATACATTATAAATCTTAAGTCTGTGTAGGTATAAGACTTGGATTCCTTATTTTCCTTAAAATAAACATGGGTATCTTTTCTCTCTGCCCTTAGAGGAAAGCAGATCCTGAATACATTTCAGGTTGGACTGTTGTGTCTGGATGGCAGCTGCCAGCTCATTAGTGCACCGGGGTACTAGGGAGAAGGCTGATCTGCCTTGGTTGTAGTGTCAAAGAATTAAGAGTAGAGCTTGGAAAGTGAGCTCAGCCGTGGTGATCAGGACCAAGCCCCTATAAGGAGATTCTGATAGTGATTTTTGGTTTTTGTAGCTTGGCAATCTTGGGATCTTTGTACATACTAGGGAATACACTCCATGTTTTGTGACAGCTAAGAAAAGGAACATTAGGTAGGCAATGTTAATTAGGTAGAAACAGCTTACTACTCAGTCAGGCTTTGGAAAAAAAACCCAGTAAAAAGTATCTTTATTCTCTTGTTTAAAAAAGTCCTTCTATGATAATGCATTAATACAAAAATATTTTGGCTACTACATCAGTTTGTTTCCTTTTTGAGACAAAGTCTCTCCATAGAACTCTGGCTGTGCTGGAACTCAAAGAGACCCACCTCTTTTACTTCCCAAATACTGGGATTTTAGGTGTGCACCACCACACTCTGCCAGTCTTTTCAATGCCTATAACACTACACTAGAAACATGATCTTTGGATTGAGAAACCAGTGGCTAAAATAGAAACAAAAGGCTTTTTTTTTTAAGTGTACAGAATACATGGATAAACCCTTTTCTTTGGATTCAGGCTATATACAGTAAAGAAAAAAAAGTAAAACAAAAAAAACTTGTTTTTCAAGGCTCAAGGTTAAGTTTGGCTCAAAAAGGGTTTCTAGAATGTGGCAAAGAACCATGCCCACAAGAGGTTTATGGACTCCTTGCTTTAGTTGTAACAGATATATTCCTTCCTGCAGCCCTATAGAGAAACTGAAGCTGGCCAGTTCCAAATGCTTAAATATGGGCTCCAGGGGCTGGGGGGTTTGCCCTCTCACAGCTGCCCAGGAGCTATGACTCCGCTGACATAGATGAGCTGGAAATGGAACTGGGAAGGGCGCACACTGGACTTAGGCCAACTTCATTTTATTGACTGTCGTTTCTAAGGCTGGTGAGTTTCTCAGGAAAGATTTCCAAGTCATTCTAATTAAAGCTGAGTACTGTCCACCAGTAGCTAGGGTCGGTGTTATTTTGTTGCCCAGGTTGGAAGGGCCTTAAGCTTTATCTATCCTATTTCCTCCTGCAAGCTCCTGAGAACATAGAAGCATCCTCTGGCCCAGCTTAGGAACAGCAGCTGTTGTTTGTAAACAGAACTTCTCAGCTCAAGAGAGAAGCGTTATTAGACTTTTGTGATTGGTCACCAACCACAAAGTCATCTTGTGTGATAAACCAGATATTGTTGGTCCAAGAAGTATTGGCATGAGGAAGGCGTGGTAGAGGGCAAGAGAAGCTTTGTAGAGAAGGCAGCTGGAACTCAATCCAGCCCATCTGACCTGCAACAACAACAAAAAAACAAAAACCAAAAGACAGTAGGGGCATCCACTAGCAAGAAGTGGCTGCCGTAGGAACCAGGATGCCCTTACTGAGACATATAGGCCACACAGATCTGATCCCCACCACTTCAATGGATGGCCTCCAGTTCAGGGAATAGTAGCAGCCTTTGGAATCTTCAGCACCTTAAAGACCCTTAGCTGGTTCCATGTGATCTGGTCTTGTTGTCTCCTCTTGAGTTAGGTCTGGGCCCCTGAAGCAAGCCAGGTGTCCTGTGCATGCTAGGCTGCCTGTCTCTGAGATTCCTGTTGCTGTACTTGTGTATTCTGGAAGGTGCTGTGGAGGGTCTTTGGGGACACAGGGGCTGGAAGAGTAAGAGCTACAGAGCGACCTGAGAATGTCGGTGCTGGCTCCACGGGGCTAGCAAGCAGTTCTGTGGGGAAGTGGGGCAGCAGAAGATATGAGGGTGAGTCCTGGGGAGCTGGGGACCGGGGACAGCCTAGAGCACTGTCATCGGAAGGAACGGGGCTGGGGCAGCGGCCTTCTCCGGGTAAGTACCGAATGCATTTCTTTTTCCTCCTAGGAATAGTGAAGAGAGTTATCTGTAAACAGAGGGTAAGTCCATGGTCACACACCACAACCAGAAAATGGCTGTACTTGAACTGGCCTGGCTAACCACTTTGTCCTTTCTCTTTGTGGCCTGGAAATTATGCCCATTCTTTCAGCCCCACCTGGCCCAGATCTAGGATGAGTGCAGTTACACAGAACAACCACAAGATGGCAAGAACCTTTTGTGGGTAGGCCTGTGAGCTGCTTCCAATTTTCCAGGGGAACTATCTTAGTTTGGGTCCTTGAGCTACTGTTCCATGTCTAATCATGCAGGGATTAGATATGTATTAAGTCAAGAGACTGTGATGCTTGTGAACAATCTTGGTTCTCACAACCAGGCTAGTGGAAGAAGTGCATGGTGACTGTTGCCTATTAATAACTTGAGCACCCTGGAACAGTTTGTCTTAGACAAGGTCTCCCAATGTAGTGCTGGCTGACCTGCCTCAGCCTCCTGAGTACTGGGGTTATAGGGATGCACCTGTCCCCAACCATAATTTGTCTTGAGAGGCACAAATGGATGGACTAGGACCTCTTCTAGGGATAGAGTCTTCATTTCCTGTTGTGAGTACACGTACACTTGTATACACACACACACACACACACACCTTTCCTCTTTGCCTTTGGGTGCTTCTTTCTCCCTAGCTTCTGTAACTTTTTTTGGTACAAGATGGCAAGTCACACAGGGCTGCCCAGGGGTCAGATTATTTCCTGGAGTCTCTGATACTATTACCTTGCTTTTTTCAATAAGCAGGAATTTCATTTTAAGGAAATGAGGGAGTTTGTGGACCTTAATCACTTTGAGGCTAGGAGTAGGGGCTCTGACAGATTTGTTTTCTAAACCTGGCTGGTACCAAAGCCACCCACTTGTGTATGCCTTTCTTCTAGAACACTGTCTTTCCCTCTCTACTTGTCCCATCTAGACTAGTCATCTCCACAATCTGTTCAGCGTTCACATATACTCTTAGGTGGCATGGGTTCCCTTCTCTACAGGGCTTGCTAAGGAACTAAGGGATGGGGGGGGGGGCTACAGACCCAGCAGAACATGTGCATAAAGGGAAGCAGCTTGAAGCGAAGGGAGAATGATGGTGGGGACAAACCCACCTGCACGGACCACACCAATCCGTCTGCTGGTTGAGGCCAAAGCGAGCACGACATTTCTTAGGCGAGCCAGGGTCTGCTCACAGCCATGCCAGAGGGGCAGAACAGGGCAGAGGGCGAGCAGGCAGGCAGCAGGGCAGAACAGGGCCCAGAAAGAAGAGGTAACATCAGTGTTAGGCAGTTATAGACACCCCATAGCCCCCATAGGCAGAATGGACCTCTCCATGGCATAGCTGGCCCCAGGGGAAGCCTTAGGACCCAGAGCAAGGTTATGAGAAAAGGCAGTCAACCAGTTGGGCAAGAGTCAGTGGGAAGAATGATGGCGTGTAGAGGGAGTTCTCGTGCTACCCCTGCCTTGGCTGATCCTCCTAGCATGGAGGCTCCAGGACTGTACAGGGGTCCTTCAGGGCGTCTGCATTTTCTATCTTGGGGCTGTCTGTTCCCTTCCCCCAACTTCTTGCATGTTTTAATGCAGGTTTTCCTCATTCTTGTCAATACCCCATCTCTCTCTGGCCCATATTCATAATAAGACTAAAAGTACAGCATAACGTTCCACACAGATGGAAAGAAGGACCTGTTCAAGAAATGGCTAAGGGATTTTTCCTGTCCTGTCCCAGTCCTAGGCCCCAGCCTTCCTGTTTGGGGCAACACAGCTCAGAGTATCAATGTCATCTAAATCAGAGTTAGGAATGGGAATGAGGCAGACAGCAGGATGGGTTCTCTGGGCTTTCTGCAGCACTATACACTGCCAGGAGAAATCTGTCAGCAGGTTACCTGTCAGTAGGCTGTGTGACTATTGGGTCCTGGCTGATAGTTTGGGTCCTGGCTGATAGTTTTGATTTAGACATGGTGGAACCTAGCTGTGAGCAGGGCAGGCAAAGGTGGCATAGGGTGTATCACTATAGAGTTGCTTCTGCTGGTCTGTGCCTAGGGTACAGTTAAACCGTTGCTTGCATGGTATTAGACTTCAGAGGTGCAGGTTTGCTTCCAGAGAGCTTCAGGCCCTGAAGGTTCCTGGCTGAGTAGTCCACCCACCCTCTGGGCCAAAGCAGGGCTGTGCTTGAAATGGGAACACGGAGAGGAACCTCTATTACTACTGAAGCAAGGTCTCACCTGTGGTGGATTCTTGATGCTTTTCCCTTGACCTCCTCTTCTTCTTTCCCTGGGGACAAGAGAGATGGTTGGCTCTAGGAGGTGAACCTGGGTTATCTGCAACCCATTGCTTTGAGATTCCAGGTCAATAGGCCCCTCCTACTTTTGTGCTCCTCTTTCTTGGCTATGGTTCTTGCAAAGCTACTGCAGATAGGGTACACTTAGGAGTCTTTCCCTCTCAATCTGATCTCCTCTTTGAGTACAGGGAGGGATTTCTAGGTTCCTTTCCCCTTCTGACATGGCCAAACCAAATACTGGGCAACAGTCCCACCCACAAGTGAATGTATTCTGGAGTGGGGAACTGCCCTAAACTGCTTAAACTTTCCTTTTCTGAAATACTCAAGGGAGATTGTGGGCTCACTCTCTTTGTGTTACTTTGCCTGTACCATCAAGGCAAAAATTCCCCATGCTGAGGTCGTTGTCTTGGGAATGGTATCTCAAAGGTCCCCGCCTCCCCTGTGGTGTATCGCTGGCCACTCACGTAGTTATCCCGCGCTGACCAGCCTGGGTACAGCTGCATGTGCAGCTGCCTTTCCTTGCGGGCCAGTTCATAGTACTTGGCCTGTTCTTCTCGAGATAGTGCATGCCACTGCAACAGGTAAGCGGGTGGGTGGGATACATCATGGAGTTAGGACGCGGTACTGGGGTGAAAGGGACTGGGGGCAATCCCTGCCAGCCCACTTGCCCATGGCCTTACCCTGCGCCCCAGGATCTGGTTGATGGCAGCGCTTTCCTTGAGGGTACACTCTGCAATGACCTTGGCTCTCATCTCCTTCATGTAAAGCATGAAGGCATTGAGGGGTTTTTTAATAGTTGGCTTCTTAGCCTCCTTCTCTGTCTTGGGTTCTGCCTGTGTTTTCCTGGGGGTACAAAACCAGATTACTTGGAAAGCAACCTCCCCTCCCCCACCGCCTCTGCCTCAGCAGTGACCATTGCCTAACTCCACCACATCCCCCCCACTTTTGGTTTTTTGAGACAGGGTTTCTCTGTGTAGCCCTGACCATCCTGGAATTCACTGTTGATCAGGCTGGCATCAAACCCAGAGATCTGCCTGCCTCTGCCTCCCAAGAGCTGGGATTAAAGGTGTGAACCATCATTGCCCAGCTCCACTGCTCTATGTAGTGGTCTGTAAGAGTCTTCTAATTGCCCCACATTAGTGAGCAGAAAATGAAGTAACTGTTCCTTTTAAACTGTTCTTTTGAAGATTGCAAAGCACAGCAATGGCCAGTGCCAGAGCAACCGGACAGCTTGGCAGGGCTCTCCAGGCAGTCCTTTAAGATGGCAGGAAGAAGGCCTTGAACCTGGTAGGAGGCATGTATATCCTGGCTGACCAAACCACTCTGCTCACCTGCCTGGCTCACACCTTCTTGTCCCCTTCTCCCAGCCTGTGTTTTAACTCACGGGCTTCGGTCATATGACTGCAGCTCCTGCTTCCCTGAGGAGGGTACAATGGCCGGGTGAGGGATGGCTGCTGGGTGTCCAGGTACACCAGATCCCAGCATCAAGGATGGGTGGGTGAACCTGGAGGCAGGAGTAAAGGCATCACTAAACCAGAAGTTTGGGCTACACTTGGAACACATATGGAGGTCCCTATACAGAGTACACAAGTGACAGATACTTTATACCCACTGGCCTGGACACAGGGTACACAGATATGTATGCACAGACACTGCAGAAGACCCACATATGTGCTATTGAGGCGGTTATCCCCCTCCACATGCTCAGGAGCCTTTGGCTACATGTGAGTCTTTGCTCTCCACTTTGCTCCTCCAGGCACCACTCTGCACAACAGACCAACTTTTTAAAAGAATGCTATCAGCCCGCTTCAGCTCAAGTTTTCCTGATTCGTAACGGAATAAAACTCACGCTGCTGCTTGGGGCCTTTAACCCCACCTAAGCACCTCTACTACATCTCTCATCCCGTCTTCCTCTTTCCTGTTGTCTTCCTCTTTCCTGTCGCCACCGCCCCATCCCCACGCCAGCTCCAGTTTCTCTATCTACCTTTCCCAGGAACTGCCTCTCTGACCCGTCATGCTTGGTTGGCGTCTTCTTGGGGCTTGTCTTCAGCCCAGCTGCCCATTCAGCTACTGTGCTGTATCTTTACCTCCTCCTGTGGAGTGCTGAATGCCTTACCATGGCATGCCTGGCACTATGTCTGTCACTAGGAGAATGAGCTAAATGTGGGGGGGCACATGCACACTCAGCCCTCTACACACCTCTTCCTGCTGTTGTATGGAGACCACTCTGCCCTTTGTTGCTTACCAGGTGTAAGAACTCTGAACAGACAGGCGCTAGAGGACGGGCTAGGGACACTACCTTCCAAGGTATTGCCTTAGCTTGGAGGATGACCCAGCAGGGGTGAGCAATAGAGCTGAGTTAGCCGCATGTGCTTTGCTGTCCTGGCTGCTCTAGGATGCTCTGTCCAGTATGGCTTGGGCTGAGACTCCTACTTCTAGTTGTATCTTCAGGTACAGAGCAGCATGGGACTCCAAGGTTACAGACAGACAGATGGACAAACAACTAACACAGGGTAAGCACTGGCCTGAACATAGCCCTGTGTGGGCACTGAAGCCTGGGCAACAGGAAGCAGGAGCCTGGCTGCAGGGATAGGGGACTCACCTGGGATAGGGGGCGCCAGGGGCTGCAGTGGGGGCAGGGAAGTGCTGTCTATATCCGCAGGAAGGGGACAGAGGGTAGAGAGGAGGGCTGGGCCTGTGGTTGGGAGAGACAGCTGTTAGCCGTCTGACTGCTAGCCAGACATGGGGAAGGACTTCTGTACCTTGTGCAGTTGGACTCATATATAGTGCTGCACGCATCTGGCAGCCTTCTCCCAGGCTAGGCCCTCTGTCCCTGCTACTAACACTGTCTGGATCGCTCTTCTGCCCTCATCTACCTGCTTCAACTCGGTTTATTTTAATGTGTGTGATTGTGTTGCCTACATGTATATCTGCACCACATGCATGCCTGGTGCTCTCCGAGGTCCGAAGATGGCATTGGATCCCCTGGATCCATCATATTGCTGCTAGGAATCAAACTTGGGTCCTCAGGAAGAGTGCACAGTGCTCTTAACAGCTGAACCATCTCTTCAGCCCTGCTTCAACTCCAAAGCTCCATGGTCCCAAGGTGAATGAGGTGCCTCTCTGGGCTCCTAGAGTCCCAAGTCAAGACAGTGTTAACAGTACTCCATAACTGTTGGCTTCTTACCTGGCTGTCCATTAGACAGACTTTTTTTCTGAAAGGGCAAGGACCTAAGGTCACAGTCAGTTCTAACAGTGTTTCTCTGACACTCAGATTCCTTCCCAGCACACACAAGCCTCAGAACAGAAGGTAAAAATGTTCCATGTCTCACCTGGCAGCAGCTAAGTACCGAGGTTCCCTTCCCTGGGCCTACACCCTTCTCCGAAGGCTCAGTTGAATATCCCCTCAACGCTCAGATTTCCTTGTCTCTGGAGCTTCAGGCCTAGGGGACTTAGGAGGCTTCCAGAGAGCTGCTTGTTCAGAGCCCTGCCCTGCTTCCATCAGGCTAAGCACTGAGCCCCACATTGGTCTTGGGTAATCACGGGCAGAATGGAACTTTGTCCAAAACAACTGGGAATGGAGGAGTGTGCTGATCATGAATGACAGGCAAGGGGAACAGGGCAGGTAGGCCCAGGCTGAAGGTCTGCCTTCACTGCCTTCTTGGGAAGACAGCCTTTCCTGCTACTGGTTAAGAGACCTGTTCAGGTCACACTGGTTAATGAGTAAAAGGCTGGCCAAGTGGCCTGTTGAGACTCAATTCCAGCTGAGAATAGACTCTGGTCCACAGCTGGGCCTGCTTCAGCCTTAGCAGACCCTCCCAGTAGGCTGGTCAGGAGTGTGGCTCCGGCAGACACCAGAAACCAAGACCCTGTTCCTCAGATTGCTCTGCCAAAGGTGGGTCAGACCAGTAGCAGACACTGAGGCCCCAAGGAAGCTACCTGTCTGCTTACCAGCAGCCTCTCCTGGTGGAGTTTATACACTTCCACGCACATGCCCAGCTTTCTCACCTTCTGAAGAATTTAGTTGGAGTAGAGTTGAGGAAGTACGTCAAGCTACTGGGGGATGCTCACAGTCACAAGACTTGCTAGCTTAGAGCCAGGTTAGGCTAAAGCATGGGAGGGCAGACGCAGTGCCCTTTTCTCTGGGCACACACTTACCAGCTCACAGTGTGCGGGAGCTGTCCCATGCTGCCTGAGGTCAGAGAGTAAAATCCCGAGAGATCAGTGGTCTGCAGTGGCCTGTGAACTCCTGTAGTGGAAAGGGGCCAGGTAAGCAGGCCACCCTCACCTGGGAGGGTGGGACATTCAGCAGTTACTATACCTTGGAGCTTTCCAAAGGGGCCTCTAAGATCCCATTCATTTCCTTTTGCCAGAGGTCCAGATATCAGCTGGTTTGTTTAGAACTGTCCTAGGTAATAATAATGGCCTTCTGACAAAGCAAAAGGGACCAAGGACAGAGGTGCTGAGTGACTTGCCTTAGGACACTGGCTGGACAGAGGCAAAGCTTGGAGTCACTCAGGGATGAAGTCAGACCTCACCAATTCCTGGTGCACCGCTGCTCTCTTTGGAGCCTCTGCTTAGGGTAGAAAGCAGCCCTCTAGTCTAGAGGAACCTGGCTTCAAGAGCCAGGGCTCCACCCAGCCCCAGGGTGAGTCAGCAGGTTTCCCACAGCTGACAATGGTGGATTTCAGAATGACTTTGGCTGAGGCTGAGGTGAATCAGCCATCACAACCACCACTTTCCATTTTCTCACTGGGGGAGAAAGGCCAAGAGTTTTGCAGCTGCAGCAATGCACAGATGCTGCTCTCACATTGGCTCAGGGAGCCGAAAGCCTCATTCTGATCTGTCCACCTCCCCGTGCCCTATGGTACTCCCAGGCTCAATCCATTTCTTTTTTTTTCTGACCCCCTCTAAGGGTTTTTATAGCCCAGGTTTGTCTGGAACTCACTGTGTAGCCCAGGTTGGGCTCACACTTCCAATCCCCCTGCCTCTGCCTTCCATACTACTTGGATTACACACCACACCTGGTTCCTTTCTGACATTTTCCTTGGGCCCTGGGTTTGCAAAGCCCCAGCTTCTACTGTTATGAAACGTGGGCCAGCCTATGTGGCCTTAGAAGCCAGGAACTTGGGCCACAAGTTCCCACCTCAATGGGCTTTCCCATGCCCTTCCCATACCTTGCTTCTGGCTGATGTCCGCAGGTGCAGGGGTGGGGTGTGGACTGCTGAAATGTTCGTAGAGTGGAGAAAGTTGGGGGACGCCATGTGGGGGCTGGCCAGCCTTGTTATGCTGAAAAATGACCAGGAGGCTGGTAAACATGGAGTGTTCTGGGACAGGGACATGAGGGTAAAGGGAGCATGTAAAGCTTCTGTGAGTTCTGTGGTCACCCTGGCAGTCAAAAATAACAGGCTTATGGGAAGAAGGCACTCTGCACACCTGGTGTCCTGTGGCACTGTTTTCCTGTGTTCTAATCCTGGAGACTGCCTGTGCAGTCCCACCTCCTAGTGAGCCTCTTCCGGGACAGTCAGTATTTTTCCTCTCAGGAAGTCCTCCCTAGCTAGGGAAGTCCTCCCTGCTCCCAGAGATCCCCTCTGACTCTATGAAGCCCATCAGTTCTATCTGCAGGTGCTGGCACAGGGCAGGGACCTCCTTTAGACCCTAACTTGGGTGAGGTCAGGGGGTACCTGGCTCCCCCCCCCCACGGACAGCCTGTCTGCACATAGCTCTTCTGGTTTCCTTAGCTGCAGGACTTTTTTCACAGTCAAATGGTTCTGTCAAGAGATGACTCAGCAGGCTGAGAGCACATGAGCCAGCCACAGGGCGTCGCTCGCTGCCAGGCCTGGTGTTTTCAGTGCGCGCCCTTGCAGCCAGAGTTCTGGGGACATCTATGACTGAGGCTCAGCTTCCACCCAGACAAGCGTGTGTGTGGGAATGCTGTTGGCTGAAAGCGCACAGGAGTGACTGCTCACCACGGCACAAAAGGGAGAAAGGACAGTAGATGGAACGGCTGGCCAAAAGCAGGTAGAGTCTGTGTGGGCATTTCAGCAGAGCAGTCCTTAGGTCTTGGGTGTCCTGTCCTGGAGGTGAATGAGGCCCAGCACAGGCCCCTTGCTTGTTACTTGGCTACTGCAGCTCTAGGCTAGCCCAGAGGGAAAGCTGGGCATGAGCCCAGTGTATCCAGGGCATGAGGCCTCTAACAGGGCGCAGCTCCAGCAGACCCCACAGAAGTCCTAGTCCACCGTCTTTGCCTGCACTCCAGCTTTCAGCTTGTAAGCTAACCCTTCCCTCAAGTCTTGGGCTACCAGGCTTCCCAGTCCTAAACAAGAGTTGATGTCTGAAGCAATGTATGCTGGTGTTCCCCTTTAATTCCAGAACTCAGGAGGCAGAGGCAAGTGGATGAGTTCAGGGTCTGCATAGTTCCAAGCCAGCAAGAACTATAGTGTGTCCACTGGGGGTGGGGGAAGTCAGCTAGGAGATGTGGACACAGATCAAGCACCGACTACCTGCCACATTCCAGGCACCGTGTATAAGTTTGTAAGTACCTCAACTCTAGGCCTAAAATGTCCCCAAACTCCACACTCTTGTAAGTGCAGTCTCACCGAGGAACACCCTCAGCCCTCAAATCAGAACCTCCGACTCTGCCTGCCTGCTGTGGACTTCCTCAGTTACCAGAAGTTCCGTCCTTCCATTAACTAGGACTGCTCAGGACAGACAGCCTGTAGTCATTCTTGACACTAACCTGTGTCCAATTTCACAGCAGATTCACAGGGTCTCCCTTCAAAATCTAGACCCTAACCACTTCCTGCCTCACGCCCAACAGTCAAAGCCATCACCTCTCACCTGGACCACGGATCCTTTGTGCTTCTTAGCCAGGCTCGAAGCACAGATCCTGTCACTGCCTGACTGTCTCCTTACCTGGTGATCACTAACAGCAGTGTCTTCCTCCATGTCTGCTTACAGTGCCCAGGAACCCCACAGCACTTACCCACGGCTAAGTTTTGAAGTATACCATGGTGTAAAGGAAGTTTGGAACCTCTAGGATTGCTAACCATTTGCTGATCCTGTTACTCCAGGATCCTGATCTGGGCTTCTCCCCTCCTAAACAGGAATGAGAACCAGTCCTTCTCACCTCAGTCATTAAAAAAACTCTTACTGAGGCCTTTTACTACTGGAAGCATAAGGCACTCACTATACCACTCACTGCCGAAGGCCCAGGTTTTGCTTCCTGAGCCCCATGTTACAGCTCAGGCTGGGCCTAAGAAACCTCAGAGATCCAGCTCGGCCTACAATTCCTGCCTGCCTGCTCGGTGTGGTGTGGTGTGTGGGTGTGTGTGTGTGGGTTTGTGTACAAGGCAGTGAAGTTAGGGTCTGGGTTCCTGGGAGTGGTGGGCCTATCCTATCTACTAGTTGTTTCCTGGTGTTTGGGGAAAAGCCTCATTAATTAGAAGTCTGCAGGCAAACCACAGAAGCACTGGGTGGGCAGGGTAGGGCAAAGAACCCACCAGCAGCGAGAGGCCCTGGGAGGCCAGGGCTGCAGGGGAGGCACTGTGGGCCTGGCTCGTCCTTCACCCAAATCCTCAGCTCCTTCCATGCTTGATGGTGCTAGCCAGGGGCCACTGTCTGGCGCAAGGCTCCCTGCCCCCTTCAGCCAGTAGAACGTCCCGCTCCAGGGCTTCAGCACAAGGCTGTCTCAGCGCCAGACTTCCCAGACAACAGGGTGGGGTCGCCTAGGGCTTGCCATGTGCACGGGAAGTCCAGGGACTTGAGCTCCACCTCCCTCTTCTTCTTGAAGGTAACTGTCCCTAGCCTCCAAGGGAAGGAGGCACATTGGGTTGACTGTCTCTACCAGACACCTCAACAGCAGAGTCCGGTCATCTGCTTAGTCCGGGAAAGAACACAGCAAGTGTCAGAGCATAGTGGGACATAGACATGCAAGCTGAGTCAGGAGCTCAGCTGCACCTGGCTCTGCACCCCATACCAGGCACCCCACATCCCCACTCCTTGCCTTTGCTTGAGTGCTGCCAGCTGCTCCCACCCGTCTGTGGTACCCCAGGACAGGTCCCCAGGGGTGCCTGCAGCTAGCTACCCTGCTATTCCTGCCAGGAGTTACCTAGCCTGCTACCTGGTGACTAGTTCCCTCCCAACAGAGGTGGGCCTTCCTGCTACTGGCATGTTCTTGTTGTTCAAAGACTCTCCCACCCCACCCCCAGCCACTGTCCCAAAGCCATCTTCTGGGAAGTCCCCAACTCCAGTGCCCTAGCCTGGCTACCTCCTCGGGGCAAGGCAGCACAAAGTCGAAATGGGGGACCCCTGAGCTCTCTGCTCAAGAGTTGAGCTTGAGTGTAGCTAGGCTGCCCCTGGCCCCCCACTTCCTGCAGGTTCAGGTAAAAAATAAACACAGTCGGCATTTTCCCTGCAGACCGCAGCGGTCTGTTCACAAGGTTGTGAGCTCGCTGAGAGCCCCTGTCACCGCCAGCAGAGAAACTCCCTCGCCTCTGACGGTTGACTCTAAAAACCCCCAAGTGCTTAAGCCCCACAACACTTTCCCAGCGAAGAAAGTTGCCGTTTCCTCTGGCCTCAAGCTCGATGGGGGTGGAAGAACAGGTCCTCTCAAGAAAGCCCTGTGGCGGGGTCTGAGCCAAAAGAAGCGTCCCTGAACATCCAGGACCCATAAGCTTGAACAAGTATCAGGATGTGTCCCTGAGCTCCTAGCAATGTGCCAGGTCAAAAAATGTCTGAGGCTGAGAACAGCATTTGCTAATGACCTAGTGCTGGGCACGGGACAGGCACAGTTCTGAACACCAGACACCCCTCCTTGAACAGACCTTCCATTTGCAGGCAGCATAGTGACTATCACCATTGCAGGTAAGGAAACCGAAGCACAAGGCCACAGCTAGAGCTCAGCTGCCAACTGCTGTAGTGCAGACCTGTGATTAGCAAGGCTAGAGCGGGAGGCTGGAGTGCACAGGAGGCTGGATCTATCAGTCTTCCCCTTCCCCAGGACTAGCTTACACCTTGCTGAGTCTGTGCTCCCGGCTAAAAATAGTCATCAGAAGCCTACTGACAGTGAAATTCGGTACTTTCACAGGCCCTAGCCCTGTCTCCCTGCCCACCACTGGCATGCTCCTGTGTCACCTAGACACCCAGCTCTCTGCCTCAATGCCTCTTCCCACTCCCATGAGACTCCATGGTTCCTCTGCTCCTTGCCACGCAGGCTCCTCCACAGACTAGGTCACCTCTAACCTGGCAAGGGGTCTGCCAGCTTGGCAAGCAACTGCCTGAGCATCCTAGGGAACTAGTGATCTCCAGCTCTCCAGCTTTGCACTCAGGTCATTTCCTGAAGACCTGGAACAAAGGCCTGGCAAATTCTTGGTGCACCACATTTCTGCACATCCCACCCACACTTGTCATTGTAGCTGAGACTTCAAGTCCCTCGGGGCAAGAGGCTGCTCCAGCTCCTCCTGCAGAGCTGGAAAGGGGCCCCTAGGGAGCATCTGTGGAAGGAGAGACAGATCCACTCTGTACTCAGAGCTCCAGGGCAGACGCTAGCCCGAAAGGTGGGCACTGCCATGGCGGCTCACTCTCTGTGTTTGCCAAGAGCACAGCAGTGGACCTGAGCAGTATAAACACTGAGGCAACTCATCGCAGGCAGGCATTGAAGCGGGGCTGTGAGAAGAGGGGGTCATCTACAGCACACAGCCTGCTGGGCCCCTTCAAGGAATCTTGGGGTCACCATGGATGCCAGATAGTCACACCCCTCTGAGCTTTCCTTTTTGCACTCTGCACCAGCCACAGAAGACTGGAGTGCTCTTCCTCCTGTCCCATATACAAGAGACTGCCTTTCCAACCCTCCATATGTGGCCGCTTCCCTGCTGTTTCCTTACCTGCCTTCTCCCTGTGTTCTGGCATTATGTCTCTAATTTTTGTCATTGAACTAAAGCTGGTATCCAGGCTGGTTCTCTAGAAGCGGGTGCAGATAAGCCCACAAAGAGACGACTTGCAGCACTGGGGAAGTCTAGGGCTGGGTGTAGGATTACAGCAGCATAGGGAACTGGGACCACTTTAGGGTCAGGAGACAGTCCATCCAGCATCTAAGCCCCTCCTTGCTTTCCTCCTTTCTACTCTTCGATTGACCTGAGGGGCTCTGGGAATGAGAATGTGCAGAAACTAGACCTGCCACTAGTTCATAGGGTGTCTTTGCCCTGATTAGAATAGGTACACTCATGGACAGACGCCCAAGCCTCTGTCTTGTGGAACACTGTGCTGGCTGGCTTCATCCTCAACTTAGC